GTTTTTGGAAAAGTAGCTTGATTTTTTCCTTACTTTATGATAAAATGAAGTGTTAAATCCTTAAAAAAAAAATAAGGACATGTTTATGGAAAAAAACAACATTGGGAGAAGCTAATCCTCCGGGCAGTAGTAAAGGCTGAGGGCCAGGACCAGCGCCACATGGTACCTGGGGATCACGCCACACAGGAAGCAGGAGCAGGAGCAGCGGCCACACATGCGGATGTTCACAGTGACAGTGGCCACATGTATATGCATCCTTCGTGATTTGGGGAGAAAATATTATATTCGGTGGCCCAAAATAAATTTTGTCATAAAAGTTGTACTCTTATTCTCTCAGCATTTTTTTTTACCTTGGAATTTGGTACAGACATTTAAAAGTAAGTACTTTGAAGTATAGGCTCTAGCTAAAGAGAAGTTGTATCTTTCAGACACAGTCTGTACATTAAATATAACTTTAAAAAAAACCTGAGCACACAATCCTGCTGTTGGCCAGACACCAGTCTTTTATGTGGAATACAACATATTTGTCATCTGGGGACTGCCTGAATTTACCTCCAATTTTTTAACATGTAGAATATTTCTAAGAATAAAACATTTCCAGATACTATTAATTTAATTAATTTTAAAAATGGAAACAGGGCACACTGTGATGTAGTGGAAAGAGCAGTGAATTTGTAAATTGTGAGACCTGGGTTCCAGATCTGACCCTACTATGTGACCTTGGCACATCTGGGCAGTTTGGGACACAGAGAGAGAGAGAGAGAGAGAGAGAGAGAGAAAGAGAGAGAGAGAGAGAGTGAGCTCCTAGCTATCCAAGGCTAGGCTTTTATGATTTCAGCATACCAGAGTTCTTTCTTATTGTAATAGTGACCTCTTGTGGTATATATCCTTAATCAATTTATTTTTGATTTGCAAAGTAAACTGGATTTTTTTGTTCTTTCTAGTAATTATATTTCATATTGTTAGGCAAATATGACTTGTTTTAAAAAGATAAATCTTAGTTGGAAATCAGAGGTTGATTAAAACAGGGGATAGAACACCAAACTCCATCCTATAAACAATTCTCTGTGGTTTCTTCAGAAATTGTATATAGCAGGCTCTGGTCATTTACAAAAAGAGAAATGCTTTAGTGTTTGTACTGAGTGTTTTGTGTACTCCTCTTCCTCCTAGGGACCAGGGGAGGAGGCATGCCAGGACCTTACCGTGCCCCAGCAGCTCAGACTTGAGCAGGCTGCAAACCAAAGCAGGTGAGAAGTCCTCACATTCCTTCATCTGAGGTGTCTCCATTCGTGGGAAAAACACTTGCCCTGAAGACGTCTGATGTTGACTCACTGTTTGAAAACTCTAGGAACTTTGTCACAGATCAGCTTTTATTTTTATAAGTATTTATTATTTTCACAACAATCTTACCATTCTTATCATTACCCAGCTCTGATGCCTCAAACATTATAGATTACAATGATTTTACAAAAATTGTTTTGTAAAAGCATTTGGAAAGTTGTAAAACTTGACATTGACATAGTTCTTGGGTTTAAATCTTGAGCTGAAAAACCACTGCTCACTTAAATGAAACTATATTAACTATATTAAGACAGTCCTTTGGGACTTTAAATGTTTAACTGAGACAATATATAACAATATAAACTACAGGCTAGAAATGATTCAAAATGTATTTATGCAATAGAATATAAGCAGTTAGAAAAATGAAATAATGTGCATTTATAATATCGAGTAAAATGAGTACAAGCATAATATTAGATGAAAAATTAAGTTGCAAAACCAATGACATATATTGTTTGTGGATACAGATCTATGTACTTAACATGTAAAGTCAAGCGTGATAATAGTAACTACTGGATTTGGAATGGTGGTCACCCCTAGAAGGGGAGGGACGAGGGGAATGGATGGGGAGGCACGAAGAGAGCTTCGGCTCTATCCATAATATTTTATTTCTTTAAAATAAGGTGAAGGATAAAATATGGCAAAATGTTAATATTTGACTAAACTCATTTGGGGTACACAGGTATTTGTTATATTCATATTTTTTGTACACATGAAATGTTATGACACCAAACTAATACTAGGTTAAAAATTTATCTTCAAAACTAATTTATTTTTGATACGAAAATTACTTTGTGGCCAGTGGGAATTTCTTTAGTATTCAGGAAAATCTTAGATATACTGATTCTGAGTCAGCATTGTTGCTAAGGATTTAAAATGTAGTGCTAAAAATATCAGCCAATCCAAACATTGTGTCAGGTTTTTGTGTCCACAACTGAAAGCTGTGGTTAACAACTATACCCACTGAGACAGCAAAATCTTCAAAAACATGCTGAAATTTTTGCTCAACTTACCTGATTTCCTGTTGAATTATAATTTTCGTGTTTAGCAAACTGTGAACCTAGATGAAAGTGCTTTCTAAAATAGTAGGTTGTTGCCCAAACCTAACGACAAACTATTTGTGTGTGTGTGTGTGTGTGTGTGTGTATCTTAAACAGCAATAACATGAGTCTATGCTTCAGTTTCTGTAGTAACTCAGGGATAGTGTATAGAATGGACGTAGGGGAAGGTCCAAGGGGGGTGAAGAGGGGAAAAGGTTATAGCCAGACAGAACTGCACACTCAGGGATTCATGGGGGAGGGTTGGAAGGAAACCCTTATACTACAGTGTCTGGCTAACTTTTGTTCCTAGAAGAAACACATCTTAGACATGCATTCAGAAGGGCCCGTGAGAGTTAAATAAACTGTTCTGTGATTTCTGGCTCAGCCCTATAATTCAGCTCTTTCTAGGGTAAACATGTTATTGGTTTTGTTTGTTCTGAGAAACAGGTTGATCACCGTGGTTCCTCATAGAGCTGCTGTATTAAAGAGCATATTTCATAGAAGGTAAAAAATGCTGACTCGAACTTAGTGGGCTTAAGACTGTATTCGTAGTAAATTTAAGTGTGTCGTAAATATGTGTTGATTAAATTATTTGTCTGACTTATTTTCTGGTTTTTCAGTTGCCTTGATAAATGTTGATTTTATTCATATAGTTTGGACTTTGAATAGGTTAGTTATCTGGGAATATGAGCAACTGTGTTTTTCATACTACTTGAATATTCATGTTTACTTTTAAAATCTGTATCCAGAATTTATCACAGTTGAGGCAGACTCATAAAATTAATGATCTGAAAGATTGAGACGGTAGTCTACAAACCTTTATCTGCAGTTCCAAAATCCCGAAAGCTCTGGAAGTTAAAATACTTTTCAAGCTCATTTAGCGACAATAAGTGACCTGAGATATTGGGAACCCAATTATATCTTTGTTTCATTAGTGTGAACATTCATATATTTTGCTACAGAGTGTTGCCCCAGAAGACCCTGCTGGTGTGATATGTAATGTGCAATGTGTGCACCATCTTGCCTTTCTAAAATTCATACATTTTTGAATCCCAAACCACATCTGGCCCCAAAGGTTTTGGATAAGGGATTGTGAATCTGTACCGTGTAGATGATTTTTGTCCTAAAGGCAATTCAACTTAGTATTTCATGATGAAGTCTTGTTAACGGGTTAGATAGAGTATCTGAAACCTTGCTATTAAGATGACTTACAGCACTGTAATGTTTAATTATAGCTCTGTTGGAACCTCTTTCTATTTACTTTACTGCTCGAGTGCTCTTGAATGCCCAGTGTGTGTTGGTCATTGATGGTATTTGGAAGGATTGATAAATGGCAAGCCTAGACTTGCTGTAACTGGGAGTGGCTGTTTCTAGCACACAGGACAACAGGGGAAGGCCTGTGTGTTGGGTGGGCTAGGTAAATTGTGCAGCTTCCCTGCTTCTCTTGGGTGACGTCAGCAGTGTGTGCTTGGAGAATTTCTCATTCAATGGCTTAAGGATTCATTTCAGACATCTCTGAATTCAAATGAATTTTTTAATACATGCCATTATGTGTTTCCATGAAATTCTCTGATATTTATACATATAATTGAGAAAGGACAATTGGATTTCTCATTGCAGAGAATTTCATTTTAACTATGTTAAGAAAAATGTTAATATGTATGTTTACTAAGATATATATATATATATACACTATATACACACACATTTAATATGTGTTGCATGTTTTTTTCTCTTTAAGAATAATACAGTTGTTTTAGAGGCTTTGGAAAATACAGAAGAGCACATGAAAGAAATTAATAATCCATAATCCCAATACTTAGAGATGACCATTGTTATCCCGTTTTGCAGAGGAGGGGTGAAGCAACCTTCCAAAGTCAGCCAGCTAGTAGGTGGCAGAACTTGGATTCAGTCCCAGACAGTGACTCTAAACCTGTGCTTTTAACAGGCCTTCCTGGTCAACTTGTCCATTGTTTAGTTAAAACAACCTGAAAATATACAAGCCGTGTACCCTTTTGCTCCTCTCTTTTCTCTTTTCTCTCTCTCTTCCATCCTCTCTCTGTCTTCCCTCTCTCTCTCTCTTCCATCCTCTCTCTGTCTTCCCTCTCTCTCTCTCTTCCCTCTCTCTCTCTCTCAACTTCTGATTGCCACTATGATTTCAAACTCTTCCTGTGATATTTTTAGGCTCCAGGTACCCACTGTGTGGACACTTAATTGGTACCAGGTCCACCCTGAGAGGGCATGGACTCCCTGACCTGGTACAGAGTGCCAGAGGAGGGGCTTAAGGGCTGGACTTCAGAGAAGGGGAGGCTGAGGAATATGTCTCTAGCACTGCTCAGGGCTGCCTCTGCACAGTGGTGCCACCTCCAGCCAAACAGTTAGTGTGTTAGATCCTGAGATACTGCCTGTGTGAAACGTAATCATGATCTGCAGTTTCTAATATGATTTACATTCCCGCCAGTGCAGTTTGCTAGGGGACAGAATAGCATAGAGGTCAAGTGCAAGGGCCAGGGTGCTATATGACCTTGGGCAGATAACTTAATAACCCTGGGCTCCACTTTCTTCATCTGCAAAATGGGGAAAATTTAGGAACCTCCTCATAGTGTTGTTACAAAAATGAAATACAGGCCTGCTGCGTCTAAAGTACATGGTCAGTGGTGGCTATTATTCTCTACAGCCCGTGTTCATGGGCAGCATTGACTCTTGATGACTTGGTAGCATCGCACAGCTGTGAGACACTTCAGAAGTGATTGCCTACTTGTTGGTTTAATCAGGGAAATGAAATTCATATATATTGTGAATTGCTAGATGCATGGTGCTGGTTTCAGAGCCTTACCTGTACTATGTCTTTTAATTCTCATAACCTTGAAGGTGAATATTCTCATTTCTGTTTTGCTGATGAGGAAACCAAGACTCAGAAAGCATGAGGAACTAGCCCCCAGTCACCCAATGTGTCAATAATGGAGTTGAGCTTTGAATTGAGATTTGCCAGCCCCCAAAGCCTGGGCTTTTCCTGCTGCACCACATGAAATCACTTGGTTTTAATGCCACTGGCCCCACAATGGTGTGGACGTTTTATTTTCTATAGAAAAGAAAATCCTTTCAGGCCTCCCTTTTAGAAAAATTTTCATCGAACATTTTCAAAATCCTTATTCTTTACATATGTGTATATATATATATAGTTATCTATTCTACATTACAAAGGGATAAGTTTAAGTAAAAAATAACTCAAAACAGTTTCCTTTACTGTCATCAACATTTACAAAGCTTAATACTTAATGAAGTGTCCCAATCATATTTTAAAGTTCTAATTTATGTACATTATCTTATCTCAGTTTCATTGGGGGTGATTTGATTAGAAGATCTGTAGTTCTAATTAGAAATCTTTGGGCTTTGGGGGCAAAGCATGATTTAATTCTGTAGTTTATTAATTTTAGTGATGGCTTTTGACTGCTCCGTCCTAACTCCTTTCTCATGGCTCTTTCTCCTGCTCTGGATGCCTGGATTTCTTCTGCAGTCTCAAAAGCCGACTTGCAAGAAAAGGATACAGAAATAGAAGTAGACGAAGTCTTTTGGAATACAAGGATTGTTCCAATTTTGCATGAATTAGAAACAGGTAAAAAAAAAACTTGTTTTTGTTTTAAATCACAAATATCCATAGTTATGTATATGTTTCCCGTTGCCCTGATATTTTTAGTATACTTTGATTATTTCTGTAAACATGTTCAAAAACAAATGAAGTCATCTATTTATTTACCCAGTAATGTGTGTATTAAATATTACATGTAAATATAATTTTTAGTGAATAAGATTATACTTTAAATGCACGAAGAGAGCTGACTTCTAAAATTCCCCTTGTGATATAAATTAATTATTGTTTCCTCTGCCTGAGGAAATGCTGGTTTAACCTCTTTAGGGTGGCTGTTCATACTCAAGACAGTAAAAGATTAAAACAGATTTCAGGCTTTGAAACTGAGCCTCCTAGACTGGCGTCCTCGACAGGTGTGCCTGTGGTTTTCTCAGTCCAACGGTGTATAGGTCCCACTCTCCTGAGATTGAGCACATCTGTTGGGAATGCCACTCGCAGCGTGAGAAGTGGCCTGGGATGTGCCTAGCCTTGCCCTCTGAAGTTGCGCAGAAGTGAAGGCTCATGATGCATGGGTTCCTGCAGGTATAGAAAGCTTGACAGGAGATGGCCCTCCACTTTCTCCCCATTTGCCACTCCTCAAGGGCTCAAGTGATCCTCCTGCCTCAGCCTCCCAAGTAGCTGGGCCTATAGGCACCTGCCACCACACTTGGCTAACTTTTTAATTTTTTGTAGAGATGAGGTCTCACTGTGTTGCCCAGGCTTATCTTGAACTGGCCTCAAGCAGTCTTCCCAAAGGGCTGGGATTACAGGCTTAAGCCACTGCATCTGACCAAGGATTTCATTTCTGAAGTTGAACCAAGCTCCTCTGGAGCTGTGGTCATAGCCCTAGGGTGAGCCCAGTGCCTGGCACACCCTCACTAGGAACTACTGATGAGCAAACTAGCATGTGGCCACAGGAAGATGCTCTAGGAGAAGCAGGGTAAAGGAACCCTCCCCAGCAACCCAATAGGGAAGTTATACAAAAGACCTAATTCCTAAAAGATTCAAATGACCTCACTCCTCCTCTGCTCCTTGTTGGTGTTTGGCTATGTTCGTGGTTAACGTGGAAGCCCTGGTGCTGGTACTAAGCATATGACCACAGGGAATCACCTACACCCTGTACACCATGGTGTCCTCACCTGCCAGATGAGAGGGTGGAAGAGACTAGATTATCTCCAAAGTCCTCTGCAGCACAAAATCCTAAGAATATAAATGTGATGAGTTTCTCCTCTGGAGTTACTAATTTTGCCCTCATATTAGCAGGCCGGATTAACTTTGGGCCCTTTATTTTAGGAATATGTACAAAAACTAGTGAGAAGAATAATAAGTCTGGTTAAGGGTTAAAAAAGAAAATGTATTAGGAAACATTCAATGGAAAAAATGAGTCAGTATCTCAAAGGCCTATCTTGTAGGAAGTCTTCAGACTGAAGGATTTTTTTTTTTAAGAGATGAGGGCTTGCTATATTGCCCAGGATGGCCTCCAACTCCTGGCCTCAGGCAATCCTCCCACCTCAGCCTCCCGAGTAACTGGTACTATAGGCACGTGGCACTGTGCCTGGCTCAGCTTGAAGGATTTTAAGAGGGTGCTGAGGGCTCTACCCATCACTGACACCCACAAAGAGAATTTAGTAGGAGTTGGGGATTTGAATTGTGGATGAATCTACCTTCTCAGAAAGCTCATTAAACACTGAAGTATGGCATCTTTCCCCCTAGACAACTTTAAGACCAGCAAGTGGTGGCACTTATTTGACCCATTAAGATTCTTTTTTCTTTTTCTTTTTTTAAAAGTTTTTCTTTTGACAAAATTTCGGACTTATAGAAAAGTTACAAGAGCGGTTTAAAAAGTGCTATGTGCTCTTCACCTCGACTCCTTCAGTGTTAACATTTTGCCACATTTGCTTCTTAATCCTTCTCTCCCTCCCTGCCTCACCCACTCTTTTTCTCTACTCCCGCCCCACCCCCCACACTGTTTTTTTTTTTTCTTTTTTGAACCTTTTGAGAACAAGTCACCAACCTGAGGTTCCATATCCCTAAGTACTTTGGCAAATACTTTTAGAAACAAGAGCATTCTCTTACATATCTGGAGATTATCATGCAATGCTATACAAATCTTACTCAGATTTTGCCAATTGTCCCAATAATTTCCTTTACAGAAAAAAAAAAATCCTGGATCACAAGTTCTAATCATTTGTCACTTCTCTTTCACAATCTTGCCATATTTGAGGAATATTTTATAGATTGTCCCAGGAACTGGTTCCTTTGGTATTTTCCCATGGTGAGATCCAAGTTAGCATCTGGGGCAGGTATATCGCATGAGTGATGCTCTGTCCTTCCTGGAGCCTCGTGTCAGGAGGTACCTGATGCTGATTTGTTCTGCTGCTGGTGACGTGAACTTTGATCACCTGGGTGGGGTGGTGTCTGGCAGCTTTATCCACTGTAAAGTTACTGTTTTTTCCTTTGTAATTAATAAGTATCTTGGTGGGAGGAGTTACTCTGAGATTATGTTGCTCTATTACTCACCAAACTTTTACTACTAGTTTTAGTCCCTTTCAAATCTTGTTAGCTCTTAGATTCGAGTTGTGTTTTGAGGCTCCGTGGCATTCATAACAAACTAATTTGTATAAAGGCTTAATTTGATCGATAGTTTAAAATTTGGCCCTTGAGCCTATCTTTTTAACTGTTTTTAAAGCCAAAACAACTACTCTCGAGCAGAATTCCCCAGGCTGAAGAGTTTGTGGAGGGAAGTATTAGAAAAATGCCTTGAGGACCACCCACTGCCAATGAGTGGCCCACGGCCTGGACTTAGGGTTTATAAAGAAACTGCCAGTCACAGAAGAATAAAACAACAAAAGAAAAGTATTTAATACAATAGACGTCAGATTTTTCCCTTTATTTAAAGTTAGTCTAAGTCATTTCCCATCAATTCATTTATTTAAGTGCATAACTGAAAGACATTGAAGGTTACTTGGCTATTGAGGTTTAAAATTTTTTCTTAGATGTTATTGTTGAAAAGAGCTAAAAATGGCCTGAGTCATTTCCTTCTGCAGGCACACACTTCCTCTTTGTGGGCTTCTAAGAGCACATTATGGTATTTATTTAAGATTGGTTTCCTACTTTTAAACTTCATGGTGGAATCTATCAGAGTTAATATTTTTCAACGGAATACCTTATACCTTGCGTGCTTTTATTTCCCCTCATGCTCCGTTCTGTGTGCTGTTTCTTCCTGTATGCTTATTGGTATGGCTACCACTTTCAAATCATAATTATAAAATAAAATATTCTAGGTCTCCCTGTTTCCTAACTAAAATCGTCTTTTTATTCTCCTCTTTTCTAATAACCACCTCCAAATAATGGTGGATTTGGCGACACTTTGAGCTTTTGTTTTATTAGAGCCCTCTTTTCTCAGATGATGAGAAAATAGAAAAGTATTGATCATTGTTTTCATCAACAGATATATTAGAAAATGAATATGTATGAAATTATGTTACAGGTTGTCTGCACGGTATTCTCTCTGTTCCACATAATGTTGATACAATATATGTAAGGCATGGTTTCTACTCACTTAGTGTGGCATATATTTGAGAGCACTGAGCATATAACTTAACACACACATATATAAGTGAAAAATAAATAGCAGTACAAGGTAATATTTGTTGGATGTGGAATAGTGCATCTTTTCTGGAGGAGCTGCAACATAAACAGAACCTTAAAGGACCAAAACCAGTAGGAACAAGGGCAAGAATATTCTGGGCCAGTGGAACTCTGCCAAAACAGACAGAAGGTGAAGATACATATGGTGTGCTTCTGTGAGACAGAACAGGGCACAGGTGGAGGTGGAGGGCATTTGGAAAAAGGAGACCAACAGAATTGGGTGCAATTCCATTCTCTGATATACTCTTGTAAAGACTATGTAGTCTAGATAAGCTGACTGACTGATAAGTGAATAAGTCAACATGGTAGGAGATGGATCAAAGAGATGGAAAAAATCAGGCAGATGGAAGTGATAAGAGAAGGGAAAAATATAGCTTAGGAAATTAAATGTATCCAGGGAAATAATTATGGGGTTTTTTACTTGCACTGTCTGTGTTTGACACACTCGAAAACTTGACCTTAATTAGTAAGTGTTGCTTTACTCTCTTTGCTCTGACAGAAGAAAACATTGAAACGATTTGTGCTGCTTGCACACAACTTCATCACGCTTTAGAGGAAGGAAACATGCTTGGAAATAAATTTAAGAGAAGAAGTATTCTCCTGAAGACCCTATATAAACTAGTTGATGTTGGTTCAGACTTGCTCAGCCTTAAACTTGCAAAAATTATTCTAGCAGTAAGTTTTTCTTTCTCTGGTCTAGTAGACTATAGCACACAAAAGCTTTGTTTAATGCTTTATTTGTAAATATTACAAAGAAGATTAGAAATACAGTGTATTTGTTTAAAATCTTGGAAAAATTAAAGTAGTAAACTGACACCCCGGAATTTGACTAGAAAGTATTATCTAAGGTAATAAGGCTGAGTACGTAGAAAATGTTCAAATAAACTTACATTTGGACTGTGACTAGGTTAAAAAAGAAAAGAAAAGAAAAAGAAAGAAAGCAAAAGAAAAAAGTAACAATAGACAAATACAGTCAAAACGGTTGCTCAAGTAACTTGACTGGAGATCAGTATCAGACAGTACAGGCTGCGGTTTCTGCACTATGGTTTCTGCTGGGTGCTCGATTCTGTCATGTGATTTAATAAATAACTTAAAGTAGTTTGGCCACAGACACAATGGCCAGGTGTTTTAGGAACAAGTGTGAAACAGAAAGACGGCTGTGTATGGTCACGGGAAGGGACCTCAGTGGTCATGGGTGTTAGAAGAAAATGCCTACACCAAGTGAAATCTGTAGAAACTTTGTCTTGAACAAAATGATCTCATTGTTTGAGGGGAACACTTTGTCGTCACAGGCATAAACGGTTTGAACCAAAAGATAAGCCACAATTATTACAGAACTTTCTAAGAGAGCCGCTAAAACAGATAAATGAAGCTTTGTTTACTTGGTTTCATAAAAGTCAAAGTTTTAATGTTAACACCCATAATTTATAGAATTTAAAATCTTAAAGTACCACAGTGAAGGTAAGTGTTGGCATACTTACTAATAGTTTAGTAAGATTGTCCACCATTTCTTATTTTGATAATGAGGACCTTCATAAAGCAGAATATTTTTCTTTTCCTTTCTTTTCTTTTATTTATTTATTTTGAGACAGAGTCTTGCTCTTTCCCCCCAGGTAGAGTACAGTGGTATCATCATAGTTCACTGCAACCTGAAACTCCTGGGCTTGAGTGACCCTCCTGCCTCAGCCTCCCAACTACAGGAATGTGCCACCACGCCCAGCTAATTTTTTCTATTTTTTGTAGAGACAGGGGTCTCACTCTTGCTGAGGCTGGTCTCGAACTCCTGACCTCAAGCAACCCTCCCACCTTGGCCTCCCAAAGTCCTAGGATTATAGGCATAGTCCTAGGATTATAGGCATGGGCCACCTCACATGGCCATAAAGCAGAACATTCTGATCATATATTCTGTGTTATGTTGGGAAAAGGCTATATTCTTATTTAGTTGTCATCTTAAACTATTAACTCTCTTTTTAAAAGCTGTGGTATGTGACTCAGAAGGCAACATTTCTTTGAAGTAATGATTTCACTCTACATCACTCCAGGTCTCTGCTGGTGTAGCAGCCGGCCAAGGATTGCCTTTGCTATTTTAGTCTGGATCCTAGACATTTTGTTCCATACCAAACCAAAAAAAGAAAGAAATAAAAGATGAGATAGAGAGAGAGAGAATTCATTAATGCTTTGCAGAGAAAATATCTTGGTTATTAATGGTGTCATTCAAATTGATTATATACATGACACAATTTAACTATTTTAGGGCAAAAGGCTAAGTGATTTGCCAGGCAGTGAACACATTCTGAACTAAACATATGATTAGATAAAGCCCCGTCCGTGACATTGACTGCCTTGCTGAACCAGGGGCAAGACTCTAGACTAAACTCTAGAGTGTGGAGTTGCGTAGGTTTGCCTTCTGATCAACTACAGAACCAGAAGGTCAGAAGGAACCATCAAGTCCAGCTTCCCATCTACTGCCCGAATCTCCTATCACATTCCAGGCAAAATCTTGTTTAGCTTAGGCCTTGGTGATGGAGTCCTATGTAAATTTTAAAAGACCACATCATTAGAACTGTCGAAGAATTAAAATCGGCAAAAACTAAAGATGTATGGGACTAAGAAGTTTTTCACAGCTTCTTTCTGCCAATATTTATTCCATGTATCAGTTTAATATATAGTTCAGACATTTATAATTATTTATAGTTGAAAACATTCAACAAGCATAATGTTAGTTGTTTTGATTTCTTGCATTCTTTGGTTAAATGGGGGTTTGCCAGGCAGCCATCTTAATTTTAGTCTTTGTATCAAAAACGCTTACAAAAATATATCAGTCTATATTATGATTTTTTAAAGAGTGTAAACATATATACAATATGAATGTGACTATATTCAGGAGGGAAAAAATCTAGCATTCTATGTACAGGGGAAAAAACAGACAAGAAATACCAATATGGCAACCATGATTATTTGTAGTGGTAGCATTATGAGAAATTTTTAAACTTCTCTTACTTTAGTTTGCCAAATTTGCTCTAAATAGAATAAACTATTAATATTTTTAACATAAAAAGAAAGCTACCCTACCTCAGAGCCTACTTTGTGCCAGGGACTCTCGTTGACATTGGAATACAAGTGAATACTAATAAAATAACCTCTGCCTTCTGGGCTGTCACTGCAGCGGGGACATGGTGGACAGGCAGTAAGTACCAGTGCCAAAGGGGGTGCTGGGTGCTATGGAAGGAAATAAAGCAGAATAAGGGAATGGAGAGTGGTAGGGGAAATTGTTTTCATAAGATAATCTACTTTCCATGCATAAGATTTGATATTTTATTATCTTTTCATGTCTTAAAGTCGTAATTTTACAGTTATAAATGGAGAAGTTACAGGATTTGCTTTGAATGCTTTGAATATGCTTTAATTCATAGCAGGCTTGGAAATTGTAGGTGTCTTTCCTTTTCTTTCCTTCTTTCCTTTATTTTTTAAATTTTATTTAATTATTTATTTATTTTTTGGTGGTTGTTTTGCTGGAAATTCTGATGCCAGTTTTGTTTTCTTTGCAACTTTTTACTAAAAATGTACGGCTTGGTGTCTGGGGAGTGAGTTATAGTCATTTATTTATTCAACAAGTTTTATTAAGTATGGAACACATGCTACATGCCACACATAGAAAGAATAATAAATCATGGTTTTGACCTCAAGGACTCACAGTCTAGCAGAAGATAGTCAACTGATTCAAGTACATTCCCCAATAATGAGAATAATATATATTTCCATTGATAAAGAAATGTTTTTCTGTTTTCTTAAGTCAGCTTATTTTCTCGGGTTTTAAACAATATTATTTTAAACAACTAACTCAAAAAATTTTCTTAAAGTTCCCATTTCCTTTTTTCCCCCTGAGAACAGAAGGAATCTCCATTCTGTGACAGTTTTTGAGGCTTGCACAATAATGCTTTTCAGACTTCAACGTGCATGTGAATGCCCTGGGGAGCTTGTTAAAATGTGAATTCTAATTCGGTAGGGCTGGGTGGCGCCTGAGATTCTGCATTCCTCATGTATGCCCCGGTGATGCCAAGATGGTTCTGCCACCTGTCTGAGGCACACACTCCTCAATTGCAAAACGGGAATGATAGCATCTAATTTGCAAGGTTGCTCCAAAATAACTTCCATAAAAGGTCTGGTGCAGGAGGGGCAGGCAGGGGCTGCACAGTGGGCAGCGCTGCCCTCCCTGTGCCTCCAGCATGGGGCTGGCCTGTCCATCTCGATGTATCCTACAGTGAACAGCACCACGCGGGGATGCAGTAGGTGCTCTGTAAATATTTGTGGATCAAACACAGAAAGAATCTTTAACAAATATGTATGACAAGTTCTAGTATCTCTTTTTAAACTAACTGAAAACCTATTATTAATAAGCATTATTAAAGATAACTTTAAAGATAGTTTTAATTAATAAAATAATGACCTATATGCCATCTTTTTCACACAGAAATTTTTGTTTGTTCAGATGACCTTATTCCTACATATGTCTACACTGTTGCAATGAGGGCACGTGGTATTTCCATCTAACAGGTTATAAATGTTTTTCTTTTTAAACATAGTGTTCACAATTATGCTTTTTTTTGTGATAGCTGAATGAATAGTATTGATGTCCCACAATTTATTAGATCATCCCCTAATACTGGATATTTAGGATGTTTTTTGTTTTTATTTTTTACTATA